GAAGAGGGATGGGGTTGGAGTTGGGTGGTGATGGCCGCTCACGCCCTGCTCAGCCCAAATCCACTGCTCCAGCCCAGGGTCCCGGAGGTGTTGGCACCAAGCCCTGCACAAGGCCAGGGCAAAGCTTGGCTGCAGGATGGAGATGGGGATGAATTCAAATCGTGGATAGTCCTTCTGTGCCACTGGCGAGCACAGGGAAATCTCCAGAGCCCACTGGGAATGCAGGAACCCTTTGGAGGAGGCTGTGGAGGCTGGGCTGCCTCATCCATAGTACAGGAGCCAGAGGAACCTGGCAATTTGTTGTCAGATTTTTTTCTGCCAGCCTTTCATGTTTGTTTTCTTGAGGAGCTTTTGTTCCCTGGGGAAGTGCAGCAGGAGTTCCTGCTGAATGTCTGCCTTTCATTCTGAGCACGAGGAGGAGCAGGGTGAGCCGGGGTGAAGCTCCTGAGCTAGGGATGTGCTGCTTCCTGAGGGGATCCAGGGCCACCTGCATCCCAGCATGGGACTGGGAGCCCCCTGCCAGCCCCTGAGGGTTTGCTGCTCTAGGAAGGATCTTTATTCCATGGAGAGCAGACGGCAGAGCTGGAGCACCAGGAGGAATGAGGGTCAGGTGGGAGCATCGCTGTCATCCTGCATGGAAAGAGGGGATCCGTCACTGAGCCCTTCCCTCTGCAGGGAACAGGGTGTGCTGGGGGCTGGAAACCATGGATTAAAGCACTCTGTGTCCTTGGAGGATCTCCCTGTGTGGAGGAGCAGGGAGCCCTTCCTGGCTCCTGCAGAGCCTCCAGGCTTTTTGCTGGTCCTGAACATGGTCCTGACCCACTTTGGCCCTTCCCAGCTGGGGGTGTTGGTTTGAGGTTCCAGCTGTGCTGGAAAATGTTTCAGTTGGATTCTGCTGGGTGTCCCTCACCATCATCCTGTGAGAGTTGTGTTTCCCCTCTCCCCGTCTTCCCTCTCCTAAATCCTCCCAGGTATTTAGGGAGCTTCCAAGAGGTTCTGTGACCCCGTGGGAGTGCAGCTAGGGACCCCCCATTTGGGTTGAAGTCCCAGTGCTGTGATCTTGCTGGGCCCGCTGCACTTTGGCTTCTGCAAATCCCCTGTGGTCCATCCTCGAATGAGGAGCCCTGGATAGACTCTGTGGGTATTTCCTGGCCTTCAGGATGTTTTCCCAGCCTTAGCAAAGCCAAATAATTTTTTTTCCTGTCTGAGCTGATACAAAAGCTGGAATAAGGGCAAGATCCTCAAAGCTGTGGTGTTTGGCTGGGCTCCAGGCAAAGACCTCCAGGCAGAGGCTTGGTGCTCTTCCACCTTTCTGGATGAGTGAATCCTTCATCCTCAGCAACAGGATGAATATTTCTGCAGCTCTCTCCTCCAACCCTTCATGATAATCAGCTGTAACTACAAGTGCAGTAGTTACAGCATGACACTACTTGTGTCATGTGCAAAGTTGGGAAAAGGTTGAACATGGTGGTCTTGGGGGTCTTTTCCAGCCTAAGTGGTCCTGTGATTCAAAGCAGCTTTCCTGAGACTAGCCCTGATGGGGGAGTGAGGGGATGGCAGAGCCCAGCCCCCCTGTGCTGTGCTGTGTCCCAGCATTCCCATGGCAGTTTGTCCTGCTGGTGCCAGCAGCAGCTGGACAGCTGGAGGGGATGGCCTGGTGGGAGCAGGGCTCCTTCACTGGGACCTGGAGCTGCTGCTCTAAAGCTGGTGCAGATCTGAGTGGCTGCTACTTGCTGCAGGAAACAGAAGGGTTCATGTTTCTGTGGATTTGGGATTTGGTCAGCTTTCCCAGGAGCTCCCAGGAGGAAAATGGAAGCACCTTCAGAGCCAGTGTCAGAGCTCTTGGGCATGGCAGTGAGGAGGATTGGGTGCTCTGTGTGATCATTTCTGCTTTCAGCTACTCTGATTTATTTGACTGGATATATAGTCCAGTATATATATGTATAATAATATATACATATATGTATATATTCTTAATTGGTTCCTGCTCTAGTGGAAGCTGTCCCTGCCCATGTCAAGAAGGTGGAAGGAGATGAGCTTTAAGGTCCCAACCCAAACCATTCTATGGTTGCAGCTGCTCAGGCAGGAGAGGGAAGGTGGGATCCTGCTACCCATCCTGTCAGCATTCCAGCATCCCACAGCAGTGGCTGGTGAGGGATGCTCAGCTCAGCCAGCTCAGCTGCAATGAGCAGCATCACTGGGCTGACCCAGGTTCCTTCTCCCTTTTCCTGGGCTTTGAGGCATTTATATAATTCTGCACAGCGATAAAAAATTGGGCCATGCTGTGTTCCTGCCTCAAGCTGAGCACTCGGGCAGGGATTGTTCCCACAGCCTCAATCAATGGGCAGGAAATAATGTCCTGGCAAAGTGCAGAGCCCGTCCCTCTCCGTGCCCTGCCATCCCCGTGCTGGCACTGCCCAGCCTCCCAGGGAATGGGCACGGCCCCAGGGCTGCCAGGAGTGTTTGGACAGCACTGCCAGGGACAGGGTGGGATTGTTGCGGGCTCTGGGTGATCCTTGTGGGTCCTTCTCAACTCAGGGCATTCCGTGATTCTGTGAAAAATCTCCAGGCTGTGATCTGGGATTGCACCTGGCAAAATGATTCAGGCTTTGCTCTGGAAAGGCAGGATGGGGGGTAAATTAAAGGGAGGGGTTTGGGTGTTAAGTGCTGCCTGGGGATGGGCAGAGAGGCACTTTCTCTTGCCTGGCATCATTTTTGCAGCACTTGTAAGCAGGTAAAATTGGCTTTGTACATTGTTTTTGATGCCTGCAAACAGAAAATTGGGAAATTTGGATTGTCCTCTGGAGTCCCTTAGAGGTGGGTTTTGCCATGTTGAGGCTCCCGTTAGCAATGACAGCTGAGCCAGCAGGGTTGGCTTCTGCTCCTGGGAGCTTTATAAAACATGGGACTTCATTATAAATTGGCTGTTAAAGTCCAGCCTCGTTAGTGATCTGATCCCAGAGCTGTGGAGGAGTGCAGGCAGCAGGCACAGCCTGCACAGGCTGCTGGGATGCTGGTGGGAAGAGCACAGCTCCCCACCTGGAGAGAAGAGATGGTGAAAGAGGCCAGAGACTGCCCTGGAAAGCCCCAGGGACACAGCTCAGAGCAGCAGGAGCAGCCTGGTGCCCCTCTCCCAGAGAGTGTCCGGGGTATGGAACGCTCTGTCCTTGGAAGCACCGGATCAGGACAGGTGCAGAGACAACATCCAAGCCCAGGGAAAGTGCCCACACTGCTGGAGACCCTTTGTGTGCCCCAGTGAACTTTTGTATCAGAAAATGGGCTTTGAGGAGGTTTTGGTTATATTCTGTACTGGTAGAAAGGTGGCTTCAATTTTCTTGCCAGGTCTTTTGGAGTTGGCCTGTGGTGTGAGCCTGTGCCATTGCTGTGGTGCCTCTGTGCACCATCCTGGGATGGAGTTCCTGGAATCCTGCTTGTTCCTATTCCACTTCTCCTACCAGCTGTTCTGGAGACTTCCCTGATTCCGGGTGTGTTTTCAAACCTCTGGTCCTGTCCCCTGTCTGGGCTCAGCAGCTCCCCAGCCTGGCTATGGGAGCTGCCCATCTCCCAAACACCTCAGCTGGCTGCTCACCTTCCTTGGGAAGCTCTCAGCTGGTTTCCCCTCGGTGCTCTGATTGTCCTTGGTGGTCTCCTCCTCTCCAGGCTCCAGCAGCTGCTGCTTGTGTTTGTCAGCTGGGTTGCAGAGGGACCAAGTGACACTGGGAGATGCTGTCCTGGTGCTTCATGAGCCACTCCGTGCCCTGTTTCCCTTGCATTTTCTCCCATTGTCCTTGGGCAGTGAGTAGAGGATCAGTGCTGTCCCTGAGCTGTGTCCCCTGACCCATCACATCCATTCTGGGGAGGTTCACCATGAGTCCTGGGGTGACACTGTGCTGTGCTCTGCTCCTGCTTCCACTCCAGGTTCATGATCCTGTCACATTTATCCAGATCCTTGCTTTTGGATCACAGTAATCAAAGGGTGCTCTTCCTCTGCTTCCCTTACTGTGGATTCAATCTGAGCAGTGCCTGAACACCTCTCCCAGTACCCACAGCATTTCCAGAGCTCCTATCAATGAGCCAGGAATAGCAGCCAAACACCCACCTGCCAGGGAATCACGGGTTTCCTTCTTTCCTCGCAGCCCTGAGAGGGAATGTGCTGCTCCCCCGTTACACCAGAGCCATCCCTGAGCTCTGTGCCTGGATTGTTTGGAGAATGTTCTCACTCCCCCAGCTCCCGCAGACCTGGCAGAGAAGCTGCAGCCGGGTTTTGCTGGTGCCCATCTCTCTGAAATCCAGAGACAGAAGATTCAGGGAGGGGAGATACAGGAGCAGGTCCCTGCTCCGCTGCCTCAGAAGGTTTTGGGAGCACCTGGAAAACCCTTGGCTAAACTTTGGAGCATAAGGATGGGGCACAGCCCCTGCCCAGGACCTGCTTCTCTCTCTTTGTATTTGCTTTGGGTGCTGCTCCTCTTGGGGCCGATCACCTCCTTCCTGGGGGAGCAGTGGGGTGATCAGAAATGCTGTGTTACTCCCACTGAGTGGACTTGGATTTGTTTCCTGGTTTTAAGTGTTCTGGAGTTGCAGAAATTTTTGTTGTAGCTGAGGTGCTGATCATGGAGTTTTCTGCCCTTTGAAGATGTGGTGGTTTTGGGTAAAGTGTCACTTTCCTTGGTGTCTGTCACCTTTCCCTCAGGTGACAACACCCTGCCCCGAGCAGAGCTGGCAGAGCCCCCAGTGCATGGTGGATCGACCCTGGTGAGCCTGGGAAGGGCAGGTTTGGTGTGTGGCACCCCCTGTGCCACTCCACCACCCAACCCTGGAGCAGATCTCAGTGACAGCCCCAGGAGCAGCTGCTCGGGGCTCTGGTGCCACCCCCACCACTCCGTGCTCCGGGGGGGCCGCGGTAGCCGCGACCCCCGGCCCGGCAGGAGGCGGGAGGTCCCTGGTCCCTGCCCGCGGGGGTAACCATGGAAACGCTGTTCTCTCCATCCCTCCCCGTGCAGATGACTCGGGTGACGAGGAGCCCGCCTCGCAGTCAGACAAGAGCGAGCTGCACGGCCCCCTGAAGACCCTGTCGAGTAAGCTGGAGGACCTGAGCACTTGCAATGAGCTGATTGCCAAGCACGGCGCGGCCCTGCAGCGCTCGCTCAGCGAGCTGGAGAACCTGCGCCTGCCGGCCGACAGCGGAGAGAAGATCAAGGCGGTGAACGAGCGCGCCACGCTCTTCCGCATCACCTCCAATGCTATGATCAACGTGAGTGCTGCTTCTCCTGCCCCTCCTCCTCCTCTTCTTCCTCCATCCTCCTGCCCTCCCTGTTTGTTCCCTGTGGCTTGAGTCGCGTTACCGTGGGGCTCGGCAGGGCCGGGGCTCAGCGCTGTGGTGAGGGCATGGGAAGTTGGGAAGATGCAGCTGGGAAAAGGGCATGGATACAGACCCCACTGAGACACAGCTCTACTACATCCTTACCGCCTGCTCCATGTAATAGGTCATTTTTGTAAAGCTGGGAAATGTGCATGTTGGGAATGCTGAGGGAATGCTTTCGTTTGCTCTGTGGGGGAGTTCTGCCCGGCACAGCACTTCAGATCCTGCTGCGGGTTGAGACCTACATCCCACATCCCTCACACCCTCATTGCTTCCATGAAGCTGCTGTGGGATTTAACCCCCTCGGGTCTCGTGCTGGCTCTGCTCTCCCAGCTGGGCTGTTGGAGGTCAGGAAGTGGTGCTGGCACCACCTCTGCTCCTGCCTTGTGCAGCCTCACGGTGCTTCCCGGCTGTGCTTTGAGTGTGCCTCCATCGCAGTGAGACAGCCCTTCCTGGGAGCCTGCTTTACTCCAGGGAGCTCTAAAAGAGAGCAAAACTGAATAAAATATTTAAAGGAAATGAAAAAAAAACAATCCCAAAGCTTCAACGGGCTGGAATAATGTATGAAGGCAGAGCTCAGGGAATTGTGAATGGAGCAGTGCTGTCATCAGGCTGTCCTAGCCCTGAGCAGAAGGAGGTTGGGTGGTGTTTGATGTAATTCCCAGCAGGAGCTGGAGGGTACTCAGAGCCCCACGGTCGCTGCATCCTCCCCATTCCCACTCCTAGGATTCTGTAGCCACAGGGGGAAAGGGCTTCCCGAGTCTCTTTTGTGTTTCAGAGCAGTTTGGGGATGCTTGTGCAGCACTTTCCCCATGGAGAGTTTGTCCAAGTTTTGGGAATGGGGTTGGCAGCGTGGTGGGAGGTGCCAGCAGACCCTCGGTGCTGCCCAGGTTTGCTGTCAGGAGGCGGAACAGCAGTGGGATGTGGGCAGGGAATTGACAGGGAGAGAATTCTCCAGCAGCCTTTGGGAAGGGATGAGCAGAGAAGTATTTGCCGTGTCCAGCCCAGAGAGGAGGAGGAAGAAGAGGAGGAGGAGGTTGTGGTGGTTGCAACGTGATAAAAGCTTGAGCAAGGCTGTCTGGAGGGTGGGAAATTCCACAAAAACCACTGTGCTGGGATAAAACAGCAGGAAGGTGGCTTGCCCAAAATCCCAAACAGGTAAGAGGGGCTGGGGGGTGGCAGGACATGTTCTCACATGGATGCTGTGCATCCTTTGGTACTTTGGCTCTGGATGGGCATCCTGGGGAGATGCCTGAGGGAAAGGCTGTGCCCTGGAGGGAGCAGGACTGGAAGGAGCAGTGTGGCAGCTCTGGCTCCGGGAGGAGGTTGTGGCTCTCCCAGATCCCTGCTGAATCAGTTGTTTTGGGAGGAGGTGATGGAGCTGTGGGCAGGGGGACACTTTGAGGGGCTGTGTTAGAAAGGTGGGAGAGGGACAAGCAGAGAGGGGGGGGGACCAGGAGGGAGGGGACCAGCCTGATGCCCCTGTCACAGGGACTGGGTGGCTCCCAGCCACACTGTCACCTTTTCCAGCATGGATTCCCTCCTGTGCCTCAATTTCTCCTTTTAGATGGGCTGATGCCTTCTGGAGCTGCCAGGAGCCTCTTGTGGGGGGATGGGGGAGCTCTGTGCAGTGCAAAGGTCCCAAAATCTGTATAGAACATGAAACTGCTCCAGGGAAGCAGGTGGAGTTTCCTTGTACAAATACACCGTGCTCGTGCCCATCTCCATCCCTGAGCACATATCCCATGGGAGCACAGGGTGCTTTTGCCAGGCCAAAGTTCCTTGCAGGAGAAGTTAAAAGTGTCCTTGCCCAGAAGGTTTTTCCCAGAGATCCCAGCTGGCAGCACTGTCCTGGTGCTGGCATGTGGATGCTCCATGTCCAGGCTCTGCCCTGGCTGCATCACTGAAGCTCATGGATCTGCTCCATGGGAGTGGAAAGTGGATACGGATCTGTGAGGTTTGGTGCTGTGGCTGTCAGCAGAAGGGATGGGCGCTCTGGGGAAGGGATGGATGCTCCAGGGAGGGAAGGCATACTCCAGGGAATGGAAAGGTGCTCCTGGGAAGAAGGGCTGGGAGCTCTGGGGCCAGCGTGTGCAGTTCCTGTGCAGCTGCCTCTGATCTGATTATGTAAATGGCCCCGGAGCCACAGGGAGCGCAGCAAGCAGAGGAAATAAATAAATAGAGATGGAAATAAAAGAGCTTTGCTGCGAAGGTGACCTTCCCTCTGTGCTCTGGGTGCTGCCACAACTGGCACCGGGTGCTCCTCTCCAGAGGCTGGGAACATCCCTGGGTGGGTGCTGGGAGTGATGGGGAAGGATTTGGGCAGAGGCAGAGCGGGATGTGCTGGGCTGTTACAGGTGAGGGTTTCAGATGTGCTGGATTTCAGACTGGCTGCTGCATGGCTTAAACTGAAGCCCAGAGCTCTGGGAGCCTCCTGTTGGCTCTGTTCCCTGTTGGAATCTCACCAGGCAGGGTCCAGGCTTGCCGGGATGGGGGAGCCCAGTGTCAGCAGGGCTGGGCAGAGACACGGAAAGCCAAGGCACAATCTGCCACGGGGGAGGAGTGGGAGGTGTGGAAAAATAAGGGCAACAAATTACCGGGATGAGAGGCCCAGAGGATCCGGAGCCGCACGCTGAGTAGTATAGACTCATGCAAGAGTGGGGAAAGCTCCGTCTCATCATTGAACAGGAGACAGCAGGCAGGAGGGGTGTGTGGATGAGCTGAGGAAGCACTTTAGGCGTTGGGAAGAGCTCACAGCGCTGTGGGTGGTGATGGAAATAGTTTTTTAATGGGAATGGGGATGCTACGGCGGAGCTTTGTGCTTCCTGAAGGAATGGGATCCTGGAGAGCAGCAGGGCTCGGGCTTGCCTGTGTCATTCCTGGGTTAGTTTGTGTTTCCCCTTGAGGTTTTGGAGAAGCAGGGGTTCAGGAAGGCTCTGCCAGGCCAGTGCAGGAAGGGTGAGAGGAGCAGGAGAGGTGCTGGGTGGGAGAGGCTGCTCCATCAGGAACAAAGGACTCACCTGCCTTGAGAGGGGCTGGCTGCCCCAGGCTGTCCTGCAGGGATGCCAGCAGCTGCTCTGAGGCAGGCTGATTTCCCATCCAGCTTTTCCTTTCCCATGGGAATGAACTTTCCTGGAGGAACAGCACCTGACACATCAGCACAGTCCTGCCTGACACATCCTTCAGTCCTGCCAGGAGGGCCTCCAATAGTGTGAAACACAGAGCTGGAGCCAGAGTGAGGTGGACAACAGCATGTGCTGCCTCTCCTCCAGGATGGGGCCCCCAGGCTGTCACTTTAATCCCCTGCAGGACACCCAGCAGCATCCCAGAGGCTGCATGCTCCAGTTCCAGCAGGGTTTCTCCCTGTGGATCTCTCCAGGGCTGTGCTCCAGCTCAGCAGCACTTTTGGGGTGGCCATGTGCCAGTGGCTCAAGGAACCTCTGGCCTCTCCCTGCAGCCACACTGGTCTCCTGGGGACTCAGAGTGGCATCTGCCTGATGGAGTTGGTTTATTTGGAGCCCTTTGGGTGCCTGTGCTGGAATGAGCTGCCTGGGCACAAGATGTGCTTCCCTCCAGCTTCCCTGTGGAGCACTGCCCCATGGGAATGCTGCTGTGATTGATCCATACTCCCCAAACTCTTTCCATTTTAACTCAGATGATGCTGAGCACCTGCTCTAAGCAGCCTCAGGTTGCCCAGCACAGCCTCCAGCCCAGTGTGTGAGTTCTGGGTTTATCCAGTGGTGGATGATGGATACACCCTGTGAGTGTGTCTGTGTCTGCTTGGAAACCTGCTCAAAGCTGGGAGGCAACAGAGTCCCTGGGATCACCTCTCTGGAGTGACCGTGGGGCTGGGGTGATGCTGTTGGTCCCTACCTTGGGCATGTCCCTGTGCTGAACTGGTGTGGATGGACATATGGTCTGTCCCTTGGGGTCCCCAAACCCATCATGGCACAGGCAGGATGATGGACTGACATCCTCCACTAGGGCAGCAGCTCCCAGTTCACCCCAGTACAGCCAGTGGGCTGGAGGAGCTCTCCCTGTGCTCTCAGGGGTTAATTCCAGCACTGCAGTGAGAAAACTCCCATCTTTAACTCCTGGATTTGCTTCCTCAGGGCGAGGATTCCTTCTGTGACCCCAGGCAGCTGCTCTGCTGCCCAAAAGTCCAGCCAGACCCCACAGAGGGCCAGGGCTTGTCCCCCTTAGCCGTGGTGAGGGTGATGGCGCAGGAGCTCTCGCTGGCATGTGGCACAGGCTGTGTTAATTATCCGTGCTGCGCTAACGACGCGCACTAATCAGCGCCTCGCAAACCATGTCACCGACCCAGAAAAGCCCCGGCAGTGGGATTAAATCCCTAACCCAGCCCTAATCCCCCTCGGATGAGAGGGCTGCAGCGAGGGCTCCGGGTGTCCTGTGTGTTCCTACTGTGGAGGCGCCACAGGAAATAACTGGTGGGTGCTTTGCTGTTATGGGGGGAGGTGGGAGGGTGACAGTGGCACCCTGGGGTCTGTCCCTGCCTGAGTGGGGCTGGGGGAGTGCAGGTGGGCAGAGGTGGAGCCTGGCCCCTGCTGTTGGAGCTGTTGTGCCTTTCCCAGAGCATCCTGTGATGCTTTTAAATGTAGAAGTGTGAGGGTATCTCTGAGCAGATCTGTTCAGACAGGCAGTGCCTTTCTCCCACTCCCTCGTAATCATCATTCCCTGAGTGCTTCCAACTGGATTTTATCAGGCCTGTGGGTACTCAGCCCTTGTGTGTGGCTGTGGGGCCTCTGTGCTGGCCAGGGTTTGCAGTGGGTGCTCACCTGCTGTGGGGGTTTTCACCTTTCTTACCCCTCTTCTGTCTCTTCCTCTTCCTGCAGTCCCAGAAACCCAGGAGGTTTCAGACTGTCCCAGGGTTC